TGATTGGTGATTAATTGCACGTTTTACATTCATTTTAATGAAGTCTTTTAGTTTTTTTTTGTTAACAAATGATCAGATGATGATTGATCATCTTTATATATAGTCACTATTTTTAGGCATGTCAATAGTGTATAGTCTAGTAACGTCCAACATGTTATCAGATGAATAATGTTTAAGTCACCAAAATATTGTTAAAAAGGTGCTTTTGTGTTAGATTATAATTATATTTACGAATTTCAACTGATTAATCTTTTAAATTATGATATGAACTAACAAGTCTAACATGATAACCATTCACATGCTTATAATTTTATTGGCAATATATGGCATCAAATTTAGGTAATTCTTACAAGAACATAAATGAAAATAGTTGAATAAATGAGTAGGCCAGAGAGACTGCTCGCAATTAGCTGTGTGGAAAGCTAAACGATGTCTCCTTGTGTTAGATGCTATCGTCCACGTCATTTTCTTAAATCCTCAATAGCCATTGGCAAACAAAAATTTGTGTATATAAATACATGTACACTTATCACCCTCTTCACAAATTAAAAACAGACTCACACGTAAAAAACAAATATTTTCTCCCATTTTATTTTGTTAAAAAGTCCCATGGCTATGAAATATTTCCCTTCTTTCCTCCAAACTCTTTTTCTTTGCATTCTCACACTCTTTACCCTAACGTTCATCCGGACTTCTGCCCGGCCTGCGACATTCGCAGCGGATTTCAAAGCCGCGTGGTCGGAATCTCACATCCGCCAAATCGACGGCGGAAAAGCTATCCAACTTGTCCTTGACCAAAGCACTGGTATACACCAAAACCACATAAATATTCTACTTGGAGTGAAATTAGAACATTTTTAAAACTAGTGGCCTTTTTTATGTATACACTCATATGTTTGTATATGTCTCTAAAAGGATGTGGATTTTCTTCCAAAAGAAAGTATCTATACGGACGAGTGAGCATGAAGATCAAACTCGTTCCCGGAGACTCTGCCGGTACGGTCACAGCCTTCTACGTAAGTCTCTCATTTTACCTCATTAGTTTCGAAATTTTACACATTCACCACCAAACATTTATTTCACCAAAACAATATACAGTATACCATATTCTTGAAACATTAATGACGTACGGTCGTAATCATTCATATGTCTATAGATGAATTCGGATACGGACACGGTGAGAGACGAGCTAGATTTCGAGTTCTTGGGAAACCGAAGTGGTCAACCTTACTCGGTGCAAACAAACATATTTGCTCATGGTAAAGGAGATAGAGAACAAAGGGTTAATCTTTGGTTCGACCCGTCTTTGGATTTTCACACTTACACTATCCTATGGACACACAAACACATTGTGTAAGCCTCTCTATATCTCTCTCATATATTATCTGTGTGAAAAAAACCTTAATTTAACGTTGGTTGATTTTGGTTAATCAGTTTTTACGTGGACGATGTACCAATAAGAGAATTCAAAAACAACGTAGCCAAAAACATAACCTACCCAACATCACAACCAATGGGAGTTTACTCAACATTATGGGAAGCAGATGATTGGGCGACACGTGGCGGATTAGAGAAAATTGATTGGAGCAAAGCTCCATTTTATGCTTATTACAAAGATTTCGATATCGAAGGTTGTTCTGTTCCTGGACCCACCTTTTGTCCGTCGAACCCTCACAATTGGTGGGAAGGTTACGCTTATCAGTCACTTAACGCCGTCGAAGCTCGACGTTACCGTTGGGTTAGAGTAAACCATATGGTTTATGATTATTGTACCGACCGGTCAAGGTATCCGGTCCCACCAATCGAGTGTCGTGCTTGAAAATAATACAATGTCCCATACGTACGTACAATGATCATGTTTCTTCTTGTACGAGAATTTATATATAATTGTTGGGAAATGTGGATTGTCTTGTCTTTAATGCAATTGTGGATACGTACGTAAGTTCGTGGTGTCAAGTGTGTATGGTATAAATACAATGGTTAGTTTGTAATTTATTTGAAAATATATAAATAAAATTCAACTTTGTGAAATTATACAAATGTTACAAGGATTTGTTGCACGAAGTAGATATTATTGGTTTGGCCATATGGTCCCATTTTCCAACAAAGGCGTCAGATTTGCATTAAACTTTAAGAAGAAAAATGTCTAATCAAGTTCAGAACTTGTTGAAATAATGTGTAACTCATCGAGAAATGCCAAGAAAACCATTTAAAATATTAATGGGAATTGATGTCGTAATTTCTAATATTTCAACTTCAGGATCGAACTAGTTCTCATTCACTTATTTTCTAACTAGTCATGGCCAGATTTGTATGTTTTATGATCGAGTCTACTAGACCACATTTTATAATTCGTATTAATTTACTTGCTACAACCACTTTAATTTTTGTGGACTTTGATTGGTTTGGAAAAGGAAGAGTACTTATTTGAGTTCTTAGACATATAGATTTGATTAAGCTACCGACAGTACTACAGCTGGAGAAGCCATGGAGAGAAAGGCAAATAAATAATAGCATTCAAAAACTAAGTAAAAAAAGTTATTGCTTGAAACTCCACATTGATGGTGATTGATAGATCAGCTTTGGAATTGAGTGGTCATAAAGAAAAACGAAGAAGGTACATTTACAATTTCACATTACTTAATTGTATCTCAATACAGTGTACAGAAGAAACCTCGCTACTTGGAACATTCAGAATCAAAACATTCACATTACTCATTTAGGTTTTAAATAATTGGGCTTTTGTTTTTAAAAGTCCAACTAGTATAGGCCCACCTAAATGGCCTTTGTGTGAGAGTAATAAGAGTTAACAAAAACGATGTCGTATGTTATAATTTAAAGCTGTCAAGTCGCCAAGGATAATATAGTCATTTTACTAAACTTGGTTTTCTTCTCCAACGGCGAGAGAGAGCCAGAGAGGTCTTACCAGAACTGTTTTCTCAAACAATTTATATCCGTTAGAGTGCTTTTGGTTTCCCAAACGGCTCTTTTTTTTTGTTTTTGAATTTGATTTTTTTCCTTTTTCCAACGGATAGTTTTTGCTCTATAAATATATGACTCTGATTTATTTTCTCTTACAAGAAAGACTGTTTTCTTTTCTCTCGTTCTTCTTCTTCAAATTCATCACAATTCTCTGTAAAGTTCGTCTCTTTGTCTTTCTCTCGAGATATGTTTATTGTGTGTGGTTTCAATTCGATTTCAAAAAACCAAAGTTTTAGAGCTGTAGCGTACGGACGAAGGAACGAGGTATGTT